TAATGAACACTGATGTTATTAAAAAAAAAAAGTAAAAAGTTGCTGCATGAGTTATTGAAGACCAATTATATACAAAAGGGCTGAAAATAAAAATCTCTACCTCCTGTGTATTTTTAGGATGATGTTTCTTTACTGCTTTGCTGACATCTTGCAGTAATATGGCATCATTTATCCTCCAAGTGTGGAGATTGTTTATGTTTAAAGGACGATTCTTTGAAGTGTTCCAAAAAGCATTTTTTTACCCTGAGTGTCTCTTGGGGGTGCAGGGTAACTACTGTGTAGTGGGGTTTGAAGTAAAGAGGGAGAAATGAGAATGATGGATTCTTTTAGTGGATTTTTGAACAAACATGTTAAGACACAACTTCGCTGCTGCCTCCAGTCATCTTTAGCATCTTGTTTCTCAGCTGCTACCTGGAGAAACAAATGTGTAAGATGTATTTGTAAGAGTGTAACTGTATAATTATCAAATCATTTGTCTGTTTAGCTTATGAATGTTAAGCTAGATGTACAGGTCAGTCTGTCACAACTTTCTGTCTAATTCAGTAGCAGTGATGGTTAGGGATATTACCTTGTGTTTCTCGCCAGAGCAAGGTTTCACCAGTTCTGGTAGGCACGAAGTGATTTGCTTGGGGAAGACTAAATCTGAGCAATAGAGCAATTAAACATGTCTTCAGTCAATGCCTTCAGTTTTGTTTAAGAGTGCTGGACAGGAGAAAGAGACAACGAAGAATGGGAAGGAAGGGGTTGGGTCTGTGGGTAGAGGACAGTAAGGGGGATGGTAGAAAGATAAGATAGTTGGGGGTGGTGGTGGTGTTTGGGGGTGGGGGACGGCTATTTGGTTTTTTTTCTGAACCTGCTGCTGTTGGTGGTGCTGAACTGATGGTGTCTGCTCATCCTGTGTCCTGGGGTCACTAATGAATGGGCAGTGTTCCACCAGAAACAAAATATGTGACTAAAGGTGAGAGCCAGGTCAGTTATTGTACGTGTTTCAGATTTTTTTTTTTAAAACAAAGTGCTAAGTGTTAGTAAGGGTTATTGAGAGTTCTCATTAAAATGCCAATAGAATGGAGAAACTTCCCCTTACAATATGAAGCAAATGCTCTTGGAACACAGAAGTGATAATAGGAAGAATCCAGTTACATTAACAATATTTAGTATTCCTAAGCACTGGATTTCCAAATCACTGGGCTAAAATAGCGTTTTGAGAATGCTACATTTAATATGTGGTCAATTTTTTCCTGACTGTCTAATAGCTCATATGAAGCCAAAGTACAGATATAATAAGCATTGTCTTTTTATAGTCTATTAACAGACAGCATGACTGGAGCACAAGTCTTATGAAGAGTGGCTGAGGGAACTGGGGCTGTTTAGTCTAGAAAAGAGGAGGCTGAGGGGAGACCTTATCGCTCTCTACAGCTACCTGAAAGGGGGTTGTAGTGAGGTGGGTGTTGGTCTCTTCTGTCAGGTGGCTGGAGAGAGGACAAGAGGAAATGGCCTCAAGTTGAGCCAAGGGAGATTTAGGTTAGATATTAGGAAAAAATTTTTTACTGAGAGGGTTGTCAAACATTGGAGTGGGCTGCCCAGGGAAGTGGTTGAGTCACCATCCCTGGAGATATTCAAAAAGCAAGTGGACAGGGTACTTCAGGACATGGTTTAGTGGGCATGGTTAATGGTTGGAGTCGATGATCTTGAAGGTCTTTTCCAACCTAAATGATTCTATGATTGAAGTTGCTCTGTAAGAGGACTGTGAGGCTCTGAAGTGATCAGAGCTCTAAAGATCAGAAAGACTCTCCTTTTTCAAAAAAAGCCTTGATCTGGACTTGTATAATTGAATTTGAAGAGGGGGGGAAAAAACCCCCCAAACCAAAACAACCTCAAAAGTTATTTTTTGTCCTGCTTTCTGAGCATTTCTTTTGTATCTGGATTTTTTTTTTATCTGAAGCATTTAAAGCTTTCTGCAGCAGCTGTGCAATGGTCAGATCTTAATCTTAATTGAATAATTGAATTCTTAACGTGGTGGTATTCAAACTTGATCAGATGGGTCACAGAATGCATGTGATCAGGCTTGGTACCGGAGCTGATGTTCAGTATTTTGCATGAAGGAAAGGGTTCTTAAACTTACACTTTTACAACTAGTGGAGATGGTGCCTGACACTACTCCCAAGACAGTGCCTGCAACCCCATTGTTGCTGCCCTGAAGAGCATAGAAGTGTCCCATAGAACTTAATGGTGACTTGGATGATGTTAAAACTAAATTCTGCATGCCTTCTCGTTCTAGCAAGGCAAAGACCGTATTGTTAGAGAGTGAAGCAACACGAGGTACCTATTTGCCACTTAGAAATGGGAAGGAGGATTTGTATCAGAGCCTTTAGACTGCAAGAACAGTAACAGTTTATGATATACTTTGTGTTTCTTCAATCATTTCTGAGGGTGGGGAGGATTTACAGTTATTTTGGTTCAGTTAATATGAGAATTAATTAATTAACTAATTAAAGTTAAATAAAACCACCACTAGTGGTAGGGAAGTTGCCTATACTTCCGCAGTTGCTTTGTTTGTCATCCTGATTTCTGGTTGCCTGGGTGAATATCTACTAGGACTTGGTGTACAAGCAGAAAAGTGCATCAACTCCACAAAAATAGTTACTTTTGCAGGATCTGCGTGTGGTCTTATAGGTGGTTTTGGTCTGGCTTTTTGGGTGGAAGATGAGGATTGTATCTGGTACTCACAAAATTGTGTCGCTATACGCAGAGAAGGAGGGGAAGAAACGTTTAGAAGAACAGAGGTCATAGTGAAGAATAAGAAGATGGGTCAATAACTCTGTAGTAAGGAAGTGTTTGCTAGTATCTGCTTGTGATGACCAGTCACCCTATGTTAGCCCCTAGGTCTTTCAATTTAGCTGGAGGATAGCCTGATAACATCTGACATAACCAAAACAGTGAGGAAATTACTATGTTTGCTATGTAATATTTTGCAGGGATGGGAAGCTGAAAATATTTGTGTTAAAAGGAGCACTTTTTGCAGTTAGATGTGGTTAGAATGCTTAGCTGAATAAACAGACTACTTACAGTGTATCACAATTGAGAAGATGCCTTAAACTGGGGTATTTGGTGCATGTTACTGTGTTTACTTTTCTCTGCAGTCCTTGTTCTCTTTCTCCAAATTCCTACAGTATCTGGCTTGTTACTCCAGTTTCCTGGAGTTCTTCAGGAGAATTGTGATGTTTCCATGATTAAGCCAACTACGATTATTCTTGCCACCATGGGCTGCTCCCAGTGGCAGCTCCCGTAAAAGCTGATGTAGCTCCAAACTGAAGCCAGGCTGCATGTCAACTGGAAATAACTTCTACCACAAGCATGCCTTGATTAGGTGAAGACTTGAGCTTCATGTGGAGTCTATGGGGGTTTTTTTGCACCTTTTGAAGCTTTGAGGAATTAGTAATAGTTTTGAGAGCTTTGAGTGAAGAATGGTAGGCCAGGTTACGTTTGAAAACTTGCCTGTGACTAACTGTGCATGAGGTGCACTCAGAGCTTTGAGTGTAGTGTTCCTAGTTCTTCAGCTCAGGACTGTAGGTAGCCTGGGCTGTACTTGGGTGTAGAATTCAGATGGTCCTTCCACTGCAACTCAGCTCTGTTCCAGAGGCTGACCATCAAGTTAAAGGTGGCCAAAGCTCATGATTCATTATTCAAGTTAAGGGATTTTACCTATAAGCAACTGGAGTGAAACTGTCATGTTCTGCCTCTATGACCTTGTGGGTTAACCCTGGTAGGCAGCTAAGCACTACACAGCTGCTCACTCACTTCCCCTCCCACCCTCAGTGAGACAGGAAAGAAGAAAGGAAGAGTAAAAGCCAGAAAACTTGTGGCTTGGGATAAAAATTGTTTAATAGGCAAATGAGAAGTAGAAGAAGAAAGAAAACAAGACAAGTGATGCAAAAGCAATCACTCACCACCTCCCGCAGGTAGACCAATGCCCAGCCAGCTCCTGAGCAAAAGATGGCTAACCTCCTTAAAAAAACCCCCTCTTTTCACTTGTTGTTGCTGAGCATAGCATTATATGGCATGGAATATCTCTTTGTTTAGTCATCTGCCTGGTTGTGTCCCAACCTCTTGTGCACCCCCCAGTGTGTTCACTGGAGGCACAGAGTGAGAAACAGAGAAAGCCTTGATACCTGCAAACACTGTTCAGCAATAGTTAAAACATTTGTTTTTCAGCATTGTTTTGGTCACAGATCTAAAACACAGCACCATGCCAGCTGCTATGAAGAAAATTAACTGCATCCTAGCCAGACCCAGTACAGGCCTGTCATTATGACTCTTAGATATGTAATCTTCACTACTTGTAGCAAATATAGTTGGGAGTTTTGACAGCAAATATAGTTGTGAGTTTCGACTGCTAGTCACTGAAGCAGTGAAAAGTATATGCAGTATATAGTCTTCAAAAATCTACATGTGCTACCTAGGACATAAAAAGAGAGCTGATGATGCTGTGGGGTCGTGTCAGTTCTACAGCAAAGGTGTCCAAGGCTGAGTTTTGGAGCAGTGTGAATCTGGAATTGATCATTGCTTCAGGCTGTACTTTCAGGAGGTGGTAGGGGCCAGGCCTCTTATTCTAGCTCTCTTATCTGTTCTGCAGTAGTCCAGCTTCTTTCTATTGCTCTGGTTATATACATATATGCACCATTCTACCTGTGTTGTTTGGGGTCGTTGTTGTTCATTTTTTTAAAACACATCCAATAACATTTAGTGAGGCTTCATTTGATTCTTTGACCAGTTGCTGTGTAGGAGGGAATCTGCCTAATGCATCTGAAGCCTCTGTCTGAAGTATGATGGAAATAATAACAAATTCCACTGTACTCCCTGCACAGATACTGAAACTTTGTAGAATCTTTTCTTTTTCTTTAAAAGACAAAGGAGGCTAGTCAACAGCAAGTTATGCCCATCACTTCTGCTATTTCATGTGACCTAAAATTCTCGTAGTGAAATTTTTCTTATGTTTTCAGGTGTATTGTGAGTATGGGATGGTACATGTCCTGTCAGAGAAGGGGAGCAGCAAAGGAAAAGACTACTGTATCCTCTTCAACTCTCAGTGGGCTCATTTGCCACATGATCTGGGTAAAGCTGTAAGTACCTAGCCAAGCAATGACAGAAGAATGTATTCAAAAATGCCTTTGTTACAGGGAAACTTTTAATTTCTAACTTGGATTAGTAGAATTTGAAGCAACTACCTTGCTCTACTTAGAAAATATTTTCTATCTTTTAAGATTACCCTAGGCAGTGCTATGATGGCAATATTCTTTTCCAGGCAGCATGTAGAGGTAATGACTATTTCTGGTTCAAAACAAAAATCTTCCATTTGCGCAACATGATCAATTAAATGAAAATGGCACTCACCTGTGTTTGTAAAGGAGTTTTTGTATGTCAGTATGATACAAAAAGATACCATGTGGCCTTGCTGATATACTGAACTGTGATCTTTAGTGCTTTCTCAGTGGTTCACAGTTCTGTCAAGTGTAAGAATAAGTAGTCACAAACTGTGTCGAGCTTTTGCTGCATTATCCAAAGCTGTATGAGCTGACAGTTGAGTCAATTCTTCACTCTATTCTGTGAGAAAAAGTTACTGTCACTGAACGATGAAATCAGCAAGTACTCTTTGAACGAGCTACTGATAGGGGAAGATGTGGAGTAGCTGACTGATATTCTGTTCATTTTATTCATTGTATTCCTTAATGTACCAGTTGACTGCTGCACAGAATTATTAATGTTCCTTATCAATGTATAATCAACTTTTAATAACCCATGGTAGGTTTATCACAACTGCCGATTGCTCCCTAGATACATAAATAGCTCAGATGCTGCAGCTGCCTTTGCCTTGTGTAGCCCCAGCTAACAAACTCTTGCACTTGACCTGACTCTGTGTAAGGTGAAGTCAGCACATGTACACACTGTATCCCTTTGCTTCAACAGCAGAAGAGAGAACACAGAAGTGCATGAAGCTGGTTTGAGAGGCTTAGGGTCTTGTTTGACTGGATCCAGGCAGGCTTCCCACGGAGTCTCTAGCATTCTAGACTCTAGGATTTGTGAGAGTTGGGGACTGTACTATAGACATCTTGTTTCAACCAGTCTCATAAAAATTCACTGGAGACATATTTCAGTAGCTTTGCAGGAGCTAATGTAATCCAGAAGAGCTTGCTCTGAACTGAAACTAAAGCATTGAACAGGTTCTGATCCGTTTCCCACAGAGCACTTGGGTTGCCCATGCTATGTCCCTTGCCTATCCCTGTTTCCTTCCTCAGATCTCCCTCTGCCTTTCCCTTCTTTCACATTCTCCCTCCTCCTCCTCCTCCCCTCCAGTACTCCAGCAGCACACGATTTATTAACTGAGGTGATGCAGTCCACCAGCCTGAGCTCACTCTGATTGTGTTGTGCTCTGATAGAGCTGATAAGCTTTCCTGAAACCTGGACAACCAGGAAGTGTGTGTAGAGACATTTTACTATCTCTGTAGTAGGAGCCAGGTTGGAGAGGGCACTTTTCTGAATAAGCTCTGAGCTACTGACAGTTTGACCCTTAGCTTTCCCTCCTAAAACAGTAGAGTCAGTTATACAGGTTTCTGATATTGTATCATGTACCTGTGGATTTCTAATACAAAGTGTTAACTTGTGTCAGCTTTTCAGGTTAAAACTTTACCATAACAATTCTCAAACCTAACAGCTCAACTCCTAGCAAGACTGGGGCTGTGACCTGCTTCTGTTAGCACAGTTCACACCAAGAATCAGTTATTTGGTAGGTAATTGCATTTTTCAGGTGACTTGCAAATAAAACTGGGCAAAGATGCTCATTGCTGTTTAGGTTTTGCAAGGAACAATTTGTGATGGTGTTATTTCTAAAACCTTGAAGTGTCTTTGGGCTGTTCATGTGTAAACATACCAGAGTAGGTGTCTTTGGGTCTGAGGAGGGCCAAAACTAAGGAGTTGAGGCAGGCCTGCAACATCTCTGAATTGCAAGCAGTGAGAGAAGCAGCTTAGAATCCAGTATCCAGGTGCTTAGGATCCAAAATCTCAGCTAACTGCATGTGCTTGGTTTCAAAATGGAGTTTATTTTTGTTGCCTGTGCTTTTGTACTTTACCTTAGCCTGTGTTTGTGTTTCTAGCTGTTCATACCCTACATAATCTCAGCCTGCCACTCTGTACCACCCTAGCAATTATAAGACTTTGCTGTACTCTTCCTACATCTTGGATACGTGCATCAGAATAGCAACAGTGCTGAAGAAAACACTGCAAGTGCAGATCATAACCCAAATTTTATTACCAGCAGAATTTTGTACTAAAAGGTGAGGCAAGGCAGGACTCTACGTAATAGAGTGATGCGCTGTTCCAGCTTTCAGGTTTCTCTGAGAATATCACTCCATTACTTGAAAGTTCTCAATTACCCTTTAGATACTCTGTGGTTTCTGCTCTTGACTTCTTTTATAATTTTATTTTATATATATGTATTTAACTATTTTCTTTCTTTTCAGTCACTCTTGCAACTGCAGGATCAGACAGCATCTGTTTTGTGTTCTCCTTCTGATGTACCTGATGGGGGATTTAATAACCAAATCCCCATGGTGATGCGAGGGAATTGCACTTTCTATGAGAAAGTGAGGCTTGCTCAGATAAATGGAGCTCGTGGGCTGCTGATCGTTAGTAGAGAGAGACTGGTAAGTCTTTCTGTCTTTCTGTCTTTCTATATTCCTCTGATGTTAGATATTGTCTTGTCTTCAGTGCTCATTGCTGTTGACTGATGCTCCTCTTTAAAATAAATAATATATATGTGTGTGTGTGTGTTCATGCGTATATGTACATTGCATAGCGGTGTGTGGAAATAATAAATCTGAAGGAAGGATTAATGAAACAGGAGGAAGTGCTCATTTAAGTAGGAAGAGTGCTGTGTAAAGCCCATGTAACTTTCAAGTCAAGGGCTCAGAATTATCCTTATGTCATATGAAATAATGGAATCAAAGAAGGAGGTTAGTTTCTTGACTCATACTACTACCTTCAATGAGATTTAGAGCACAGTTATCTAGTGCTTTAGATTCAGCTGGAGCATCACCAGTGTATGTTTTGTAAAATTAGCAGTTTTGAATACTGTAGTCAATACTAGAGGCACACATCAGTCATAAAACCATGACCCTGATGTGCAAAAGATACTGCTTGAAGTTTGGTTGCTGCATTTTGCTGTTACAGTCTTTAATGACTTATATTTTACTGGAAACAGGCATACATTTTGACTTTGAGTTTTTGCTGTCATTATGTTCCTTTCTAGAATATTTTCTAGAATATTGCAACTTCAACCCTTTTGAAGTAGTAGAAGTATTTGCAGAAATGGATATTCTTACCTGGTCTGAACTGTCTTTCAGGTTCCTCCTGGGGGTAACAGGAGTCAATATGAAGAGATTGATATTCCTGTGGCTCTGCTCAGCTATACTGATATGTTAGATATTGGCAAGGTAAACTTGATACTAAATGCTCCAATTTATATTATCTCCTTTAAATGAGTCACTGCTCAACAGTATTTGAAGTCCATCTTAAGAGCTTTGAATCTGTAGAGAGTTGTATTCATGAAGATTGCATTATTATGTTTTGAAAAAAAAAAAGTGAATCTCTTGGGAGGTTATTTCTCATTTTCAGAATAAAATCAAAATGGAGTCTGGGGCTGGAAATAAATATCACTGATAGTAGAGCCAATAGATGTCTCTTAAGTATTTATAATAAAGTTGGATTCTGAGGTTGCTTAGGGTAAACTAAATAACTGAACCATTGCTAAGATAGCTTTTTGGAAGTTCTTCATAACTTGTACTTACCTCCGCAGAGTTTCGGCAGCTCAGTGAAAGGGGCAATGTATGCACCAAATGAGCCTGTGCTAGACTATAACATGGTGATTATATTTGTCATGGCGGTGGGGACTGTTGCAATTGGAGGCTACTGGGCAGGAAGCAGAGATGTGAAAAAGTGAGTAACTGGAATGCAGTATGTCAGTTTTCTTGTATTTCTCACAGGAAAAAAAAAAATGGTATTTATCTAAAGATCACCTGGTAGCTGTCCTAATGAGATTTAGAGACTGTCTATATAACCAGAATGGAAAAAAGCTGATGTGACATTTGAAAGGCCCTGAGCCTGGTATTGGTTTTGTCACTGTATGAAATTATTAGAGTGTAATTTGCATGTAGCAGTTTAGTGTTTTGCTTTGTCAAAAAGCCAAACATTTGAAAAGTTCAGAAGGAAAATTGGATAGTAATAGGCTTCCTATTTGTGCTTTTGCAAAAATCCACCATAAAAATATATATATAAAAAAAAAGATGTTTTTACTAGTATAGTGCAAATAAACTGAGTAGGTGGCTAACATATACTATGTTTATTATGAATCTTTTATTGAAATGTTATGGTTACTTTTTTGCCAGTAGGTGGAGCTGGGCAGAGGAGGTTGTCTGTGCCACACTTATTTTTAACATTTACTTTACATATACAACCTGACTTTAGGATTTCTTTGGAAGTCAGCAAATTACTCTGCAGTAATTTTCAGGATTCTGTTGGGTTCCTAGTGAATGAAGAATAGTACTCTTGATAAACTAATGCAGTAGTTATTGTTTTATGCATTGTGTTATGTCTGATGTTCATACATCCATGCGAAATGTGGAGTTCCACTGACTTGAGTGGAAATCAATGCAGGCATTGGTGGTGTCATGTTTTCCAACCCCATGTAGTTCTCCCTGAAGATTCAGTGCCCTTTATATACTTTGTTGCAGAAGGAATGGACTGATTATAGCCATGTTACTCTTTCAGGAGGTACATGAAGCACAAACGTGACGATGGGGCAGAGAAACATGATGATGAAACGGTTGATGTGACTCCAATAATGATCTGTGTATTTGTAGTGATGTGCTGCTCAATGCTGGTCCTCCTTTATTTCTTCTATGACCACTTAGGTACTCTTAAAGTTGTATTTGTATTGATACATCTTCAATATCACAAGGCTGCCATAGTTTAAAGAACATTTTTACTGTGAAAATAATTATGAAATGGCTGTATGCTGCCATGTTTCTTCATCCCAACATGATTCAAAGCCCTGTAAGAAAACCCACCAAGTAGATTTCTATACCTGCTTCTAGTGAGGTTGGATTAGGCGATCATAGAGCTTTTCAAATGTTAAAGCCTATTAAGTAGATACAGACTTAATGTCTTCCACCTTTTATTTTTTGTCAAAGGTGTTCTCAAACCTATATTTGTCTTTCTATTATTGTTCAATTTGAAGTTAAGTTATGGGATCCAGGATCAATTTTTTTATCTTTATAAAGTTTATAAGTTTCTACTGATCACTTATCAAATTGATTGACAGAAGAACATGAAAGCCTAATGCACTGGAACTTCAGTCCTCATATTTCTGAGGAAGTTATGAAAGATGCATCCCATCTGTATTAATTCATTTTTGCTGCTAAGTGAGTTCCCTTATAATGCTTATGTATACTCTTAATGAGAAGATAAACACTTCACCATAAATTGCCTTTTTAGGCTTGTGATTTAATGATTTTTAAAATATTAGCACAGAGGTTTTGATTTGTTGAAGAAGCTATTGCATAAAGTACACCTCACTAAAATGAGCTAGAATTAGATACTTAAAGAGCATAAATTTAATTAACAGTCATTTGAAGTCTCCGAATTTAACGTTTACTGGTGAAATGTAAGCCTTGTTTCTCATTCAGGTTTTTTGATTGCCTGTTCTTTATTCAGCCAGGATATGAAAAAAAGCATCTCTTAACTTATCCTACTTGGACTTACTACTTTTTCTTTCTCAGTCTATGTTATCATAGGAATATTCTGCCTGGCTGCCTCAATTGGTCTTTACAGTTGTCTGTCTCCCTTTGTAAGAAGATTCCCTTTGGGAAAGTGTAGGTACGTGGCAAGTTCTAAATCTTTAATAGGCAAAATTAAGTTTTTATAATGTTGGGTAGGTGTGGGATTTACAAGGTGATTTCATACTTAAAAACATTTATAAAGGAGGAGTGTAACTACATAGACAACAGTAGCTTTGTTGTTTTTCATTTTCAGAATCCCAGACAACAACTTGCCTTATTTTCACAAGCGTCCACAGGTCCGGATGTTGCTATTGGCAATATTTTGTATCTCTGTCAGCATAGTCTGGGGAATCTTCAGAAATGAAGATCAGTAAGTGTATGCTTTATTTTCTGTGCTAGAAATGTAATATGCTTTATAGTACAAATAACTGACATCTGTAGAAGCCTAAACTTATCCTGAATTTACAAGTGACAGGAAAGAAACTAGAGACTTGGGCAGAAGTTGTTCCTTATGTACTTCATCTTAGTCTTGTTGGTTTAAGTTACAGAAAACTGTCTCTTGTCAAGCTTGAATTTCTGAGTCCCAGTCCATATTCTGATCTTTGGCTTAAGACAGCTTTTTCAGAAGTGGTATAGAAAGTTGGACACAAGTTGTCTAACTTACTACGTCATGGTCTGCATGTGTGTTTTCTCAGAGAGAGTAAGAGCTGTGAAGCTTGTCAGATCTTTAGTTTCTCTCAGCTGACTGGTATGAGTAAATAATTCCATGTCCAGTATTGCTGCAGTACCTAATTATAGCATGTTCTTATCACTTTAGTTTTTTGTTGTGGTGGTTTGTTTTTGTTTGGGTTTTTTACCACTTACCTCACTCCCAGATGCTCAGGTTTCCCCATGTATGTACATGTGTTCATCTTCTTAGTCCCTCTGTCAAGGATTCTGTGTTGGAACTGAAATGCTGGCTTGTGTTTCTGCTGATGGTACCAAAGATGTCTTGCTTGTGCTTTGGGTGCCTGTTACTGCCTTTGTGGGGTCAGTTTTCTGTGTTAAGTTTGTGGATCATTCACTGGCAGAACTCATAAATCCAGGAAGCATCAACTTTGAAACCTTTTAGAGAAATAAGTGTCAGACTGAGGAGTACAGAAGTACTATAGAGCTATTCCAACCTGGGATATTTAGGAGTAGGAAATCCATTTTCTACCTCAAAGATGGAGTGGACCTGAGCGTCTCCTGCACAAAGCTCCATCAACAAGCGCTCAGGTATTGATCACAACAGCATAATCTCTCATCTGCATCTACACTTCAGCGATTTTGGGGAAGCCTTAGTGTTTCGTATCTCAAATCCTACTACTTTGATCCTAGCAATCGAGAATAAAGCAAAGAGCATTGGTGCTTCTATACCTAACTTGAAAAACACAATCAAGAAATAGCCCCAACTGTAGGCTTCCCTCAGCACACAAGGGTGTACACATACACACAGGCTAAAGGACCCCAGCACTTCCTATTTTGGTACCCACTGACCTCATTCAGCCAGTTTTCAATCCACCTCAGTGTCTGCTTATCTGGCCTACACTTCCTCAGTTTCTCTATGAGGATCTTGTGGAATATTCTCAGTGGGAAAGCCTTACTGAAGTCTAGATAGACAATGTTCCCACTGCTCTTCCCTCATCTACCAAACCAGTCATTTCATTGTAGGAGGTTTTCAGGTTGATCAAGCACAACTTCCCATTTGCGAATCCATGCTGACAGCAATGTTGATTTCAAGCAAGTACTTTTAATAAAGTTTTTTTGTCCCAAGCAGGTCCTTACTGAGGACAAGGCTTGATCTGGCTTTCCTATTGTTTCCTGTGGAAAAAATTGCTCTCCTCTTTCTTTAGGTGGGCTTGGGTTCTGCAAGATGCTTTAGGAATCGCTTTCTGTCTTTACATGTTGAAAACAATTCGCCTGCCTACATTTAAGGTATGAAAGTTAAACAGATCTAGAAAGAGGATGTTTGCCTGTATATAGCTGAACAGAGGAGCCACTTCTAATAGAGTACATTGGCTTGGAAATGCACTTGTGTTCATACGTAGCTTGGAAGAGTGATGCAATGAGTATACTGTAGACCAAGAAGTGGCATGTGATTGTTATGTATGGTGTTTGGTAACTTAAAGTTCTGTAGAGTGTTGACTACTAGTAAATCGCACACCACACACTTGTGGGTTTTGGCGGGGGGGGAGGGGGGTTGGTTTGCGTTTTGGTTTTGGTGGGGTTTTTTGTTGTGGTTTGGGGGGGGGGTTGTTGGGTTTTGTTTTGTTTTCAAATCTGACGCACAACTGATGCATCATTCTGGTGTTTCTTTCAAATCTTCCAGAACTTATTCAGTATCTTAAGGTGAAAATCAGTATCAGTCATTTAGTTGCCCCTTAGGCAGCTCTTCAAACTCTGTTTCAAGTGATCTTCACCTATAAATTTGTTTCCTTGTACAGACTGGCCAAAGTAATGTGGATACTGTTTCAAGCTATGCCTAGCATCCTCCAGAGGAAATACAGATCTTCTTAATATTTCCTAACAAACTGAAACAGCACCATTTCCCGATTTTACATGATAAAAAATTTTAGGGACTAACATGTAATTTTGTGCCCAAGAATTACTTTCTTTTATATGGTGCGTGTGAGACCCGATTCCTCCATCTAAAATATTTAGGAGTTAAGAAAAATACGTGGTGACTTGTTTGTTAGCTTTTGCCTTGCATAGTCTTAAGTTGCTAATTATTAATTCTTTGCTGTTTCCTAATGCAAATGTAAATACCAAGTATATTGTCTCTTCCTTCAGGGTTGTACCTTGCTCCTCCTGGTTCTTTTTGTGTATGATGTATTCTTTGTATTTATCACACCTTTTCTAACAAAGGTAAGTAAAGTACTTCTCTAGAGCCTGCTGGTCACAGAGCAAACTAATGACCTGTTTCTCTGTGTGTTCCTAAATGATCCCAGACCCGGTGAGTGAAGTGCTGACTTGCAAATTTTCCCCTTTTTTCTTTAGACTGGGGAGAGTATAATGGTAGAGGTGGCTGCAGGCCCATCTGATTCTGCCACTCATGAAAAGGTACTGTATGCAGTCTGAAAACATGGCACTAACTTCCAGCTATTACATTTTCAACTTCTCTAAAATTCAAAGACCACAAAGCTGAAATGGGGATGCCAGCCTGAAAAGAATTTAATGTGGAAGTAAGCACTCCTTAGCTCTCTGGAAAACTACACCAAACACGGGGGGCAAGGCAGACTTTTAGTGGTTTGTCACAAGAGCTTTGGTCTTTTATCTTGCTTTAAGAGGGTTTGAGTACAAGGCAGCTCATTAGCTCAGCTTTGCAAAAACATGACCACGTTTGTAAATAGAACTTTTATTGCTAATGAAGCATATCCATTTTTACCTAAAGCGATAAAACTTATATGATCAGTCTGTCTCTTCCCCCTCCTTCCCTGTTTTGATAATTGCTTTATGAAAAGCTGAGGCTATAGGCAAAGGAGAGGAACACAAATTGGAGACAGAAAGAAAACAGAAGTTGGTATAGTTCTGTACTGTTTGACAGGAGCCAGCTGCATGCACAGAGCTGTACAACATGATGTGATTCTTTAATGTACTGTATTAAAGAGAATACATGTTTGCAATGAACTTTGCCATACTGTCCCTCAGTGTTGCAAATTATGTAATAAATAGGAAAGCTTGGGGGGGGGAAGTCTTTAAAATTATTCAAGTCTTTACTCTTTTGAGACTTTCATTGCAACCAGTAGATTGAAATAGAAATGGTTATTTCTTATGCATGTAGCAGTTTACCTAAATTTTTTACGTTCCTGCAGTTGCAACAGGGTACACCAACTCTGCTTTATGTGAGGACTTTGAAATTAATATAGTGTTTTGAGATGTCTGTCATGGGGAGTTGTCTTGGCTGTTTGAGAAAGTATTTCATCACTCCTATCTCAAATACATTTTGTTGTCAGTAATATTCATAAAAGATTTTAAGGATCTATAATATTAAAAAAGATACATTTGCTGTATTTGAAGTCTACAGTTTCAGTACAACAGGAACAAGTTCTGGTAGTTGGTGTCAGTATGTAGAGAAAACAGCTTTTCATAAGGCATGTGTCTCTCTCATTCCAAGCTCCCAATGGTCCTGAAGGTTCCACGACTGAACTCTTCACCGTTGGCTCTGTGTGACAGGCCCTTTTCTCTCCTAGGATTTGGAGACATTTTAGTTCCAGGTATTTTTGTTTAGCATGTTAAGAATTTTACTTGTTGCACACTCATATTAGTTTATTCTGCTTGTACTTCCGCTTCAAGTGGGAAGTTTGATTTGACTACTGTAAAGCTGATAAATTTATACATATATCTTTTTATGGTTTTTTTTTCTGCACTATTCACTTTTTCCATAAGAAATTAAATGCATTAAATTAATCTTACGGTTCAGTTTCACATGCAGTAATGTCAAATGTAGAGAAATCTCAAGAGTTGATTTAGCAACTAATTTTATAGTATAAAACATCTTTAATAGAGGAAATTATTTGTCCATTTGCACATTATTTGAGTACACACGTACCTGACCACTCAAAACTTCATAATTTTGTCAGTCATGCAACATCCAGTGTTTCTACCACACCTTCTCTCAAATTTGACTTTAGATAGTATGTGAAAGTATGCCTGGCACCACTGCAGGTGAAAACAAGTATTCATCTTCTGATTGTCAGATTTCTTCTGAGAAATCATTTGTTTATTTTCTTATATTTTGGGAACTGTGAACTGTGTCATCCCTGTCCGTGTCCCCTCCTCCCTGCAACCTATAATAGGCATAGTTATTAACAATAAATTTCTACTGTCTTTACTAGGAGCTGGAAGGGATGAACTTACTCTTATTCTTGTTGTGAACACTGTATTTTTACAGCTGTTTATTAGGGATGGGATGATGTTTTGTATCTAGGATCTGTGTATTTGTAGATGTTAATTTTATTATTGGAGTGATTCTGTTGTACTGGGCTTGTGTTTTCATGTAACTGTTTTGTAAGCTGTGCAGCCTCCTGAGTGATGCTGTCATAGTACTTGGGCAACCCTGTGTTTAAGTAAATGTTGAGGAAAAAAAAAAAAAATCTTAAGTTTTTAGATAATTTGATGGGTTTGTGTATTTTAATGTGTGAATGGTTGAAAGCATGTTGTAATTGTTCTTTCCTTTCCTAGGCTTACTAGTAGCCTATTGCCATAGATTTGATATTCAGGTGCAGTCGTCCAGAGTCTATTTTGTAGCCTGCACAATAGGTATGTATAAGTGTGACACCTGAACACAATACCTACGGGGGTTGCTCCCTTTAAAAGCGTACCATTAATCTTCTACTACGTAGTTTGGGTGTTTTTATTCTTCTTCTCCTTTTATTATTAAACAAATATTTTAGCTAAGTACTTTTGCGGCTAGATCTTCCATCACCAAGTTATCTGATGTTATTTTCCTGAGCTGTTTTGTCTGCCATATATAAGGGGAGCTTCTTGTTACCATGGCTTGTCTCACTATAACCCTTACATCTATGCTATCTTTATACATGCTTAGCTACTCATTCTGGTTTCTTGATTCATGAATCTTTGAGTTTATTGCATATGAGAATTCAGGTTAGGCATGTCTTCCTTTGACTTTGTTCTTAACTTTTTGTGTATTCTAAAAATCTGTGACCTATGATGCAACAAGTTGCATTATGGTGGCTGTAACACCTCTAAATTAGTTTTCCTTTAGTTTGTAGAATCCACAGAGTTACACGCCATGGACTTAAAAGACAACTGATGAATAGGATCCTACAGATTTCTGTTGGCTTTGTTACAAAGTATTTATGCTAGCAAAGACTTAAGACGCTTGCAGTTAATGTAATGAAAAATTTTCATGAAAATCTGCTTTAGAAATTCTTTTGAAAAAATAGCTGGGTTCTTGGAGACTTACAGCAGGTTTAGAAAGATGCTTTTATTTCAATGTACCAAATCTTACGTAATTTCCTCTCATATATACTTAAATGAAACTGTTGTCTTACCTGGCACTTTCAAAACACATTTACAGAAATTGATAGAAAAATATTGTATCGGTGAAGAGTCAGCAGTGTACTATTGCAGCAATGTACACTAACCACGTACAGGGTTGTGTTAGCAAGACTGAGTCAACAGTATGAGAGAAGTGATTATTCCTCTCAATTTGGCAGTTAAGAATGAGTCTTAACCAGGATCCCTGGTGCAAGACAGACTGACATACGGGAGTAAATCTGGTGGAGGCCATCAAGATGGCTGAGGGCTGGAGCACATGATTTTAGAAGAAGAGAAGGCAAAGAGGACTTTCTGATGTTGTCCACAGCTACCTAATGTGAGGATGCAGAGAAGAAAGACAGACTTTTCTTATGGGTGCACAAGGATAAGATGTGAGGCAATGGACTTAAGTCACAAGAAGAAATATTTCAACTAGATATAAGGAACTCTCAGTAATAAGATAATGTGCCCTGAAAAAAACACTTTGGAAGAATTGTAAAAAGTTATCAAGTATTCTAATCATAGAATTGTTTAGGTTGGAAAAGACCCTTAAGATCATCAAGTCCAACTGTAAAGCTAACACTACCAAGTTGTCACAGACAAGTGTTTTAGATCACTTAAAGAATCACTGTCAAAGGTATTAGCAAAAGTGATTTTAACATAAATTTGTAAAAGTGCAACTTAACAGAATTTGATGGCAAGATTCACTATTACTTACTACATGGAAGAAACATACAAAGGAAAATCAAGTTAGAATCGATTTAGGATGATTTACACAGAAAGCAGGGATGCAAAAAGGTAAGGGAGAGCCTCCCATTGAGTCATGAGGTTCAGAGTGGACCCCTTTGCTTTCTAAACTCCATTTCAGAGAGGAGTCTAGGTGCGGCTGGATCCAGACTTAGTCCCAGACTTGGTTAACAGTTTATGGCTAATGGAATTAGCTACGTGGAGTTCATTAGACATTCATTCAGCATGCTATCAGTCACTTACCGAGGATCTGTTGCACATAAGGGGGTCTCTTAGTCTCAGGTAAGTAATCTCAAACCTTGATGTTAAAGAAGCGCCTTCCATCCAGGAGTCCGATGTTAGTTTGCTCCATAGAACCCTAGGTTTCCTGAAGCAGAGACTCGGGCATCGAATTTTAAAAAAATAAATAATTTTATAGAGTGGTACAGCAGCAGGATCGGCTTGAGCTGGGTGACTCCAGGGTGGGACCTGAACAAAGAAATCCCTGGGCAATTATACCCTTACAGACTATTCACCTGCCCCTCACCCTGCCATTCTTCACACTCCAATAGTGATTCTGGTCTGAGATCTTCTGACCCTTTATTGGATTCCTTCACTGTCTCCAGACAGGCTGTTACCTTGTCAGCTTGCAGGTGCTGTTGACAGTTGTAGCCTCCTTATCTCCTGGTTTGCGCTGGCTCTGGAGACCTTGTTTTGCTTGAGCAGGTACAAGTTCAGTAAGTTCAGCAAATCTCGGTGAAAGTTTACAGCTTGAGGCCTAAGCCTTCAGCAAATCTAGCTACTCATGCTAAGTAAAGCTAAGCAAACAGCATACTAAATAACACAATGTTATACCTCTAAGTGGTTCATTCTATTTTAAAACTTACTTATTTAAGCTAGACTACTACTATCTCTTAACACTGAGAGGTGTCCCTGCTCAAGGGGAGAGTTGCCTGGCATGCAGTCCAGTTGATGTCCAGGGAGAACTCAGCTCATCCAACAATCTGGCATTGGTAAAAGGATCTCATTGCTTTGAGGAGTAAGCCCAAGAGGTGCCTGAACTCAAGGGGAGATCACCACCATGCAGCCATGCTGTCTAGCAGGGAGAGCTCAAAGAAGGCTCACTTAGGCTGTCATATGTATGGGATAAAGCCGTTGGTTGGCTCATAGTCAAATTGCATACCATGGGAGAGGTATGCATGAGACTCCTTGTACCCACAATTTTCTTTGTTCCTCAATAAATGAGGCTTGGAAAAACCAGCTGCTCTTCATGTGTTAATTGCATGATCAGTGCTCGCTGTGTGTCTCTGCTCCTTTTGTGGATTTCCTAGAGGACTTGCCTGGCTATGGCTCAGGCCTTTACCTCCTTTGGAGCCCGCACCAAACTGCTGCTAGTTTGGTTAAGGGGAGGGGGGGCAGGGAGTGCATCTGTCACACAAGTCCCCCACAAAACCATGTCCCTAAGCACCACATCTACATGTCTTTTAAATACCTCCAGGGATGGTGACTCAACCGCTTCCCTGGGCAGCCTGTTCCAATGCTTGATAAACCTTTCAGTGAAGAAATTTTTCCAATCCAGACCTCCCCTGGCACAACTTGAGGCTGTTTCCTCTTGTCCTGTTGCTTGTTACCAAGGAAGAGAGACCGACCCCCACCTCGCTACAACCTCCTTTCAGGTAGTTGTAGAGAGCAATGAGGACTCTCCCAAGCCTCCTTTTCTCCAGGCTAAACAACCCCAGTTCCCTCAGCCGCTTCTCAGAAATCTTGTTCTCTAGACCCTTCACCAGCTTCATTGCTCTTCTTTGGACACTCTCCAGCACCTCGATATCCTTCTTCATCTAGTTCCTGAATAAAAATCAGTTGGTTTTAGCTTCATTGTTCTGAAAGTGTAATTGAAATTAATTACATTATGAGATCCTAGCTGCTTCTGTTTGATGTAACAATTTTTGCAGAATATATGCAGAAATTAAATAGAAAGTAATAACAAATTATAACATACAGCTGGATTGTTGGGTTTTTGCAGGTTTTTTAGGGGTGCTGCAGGATAGTAAGAAACAGCCAAAGCCAAGCCAAACAAGAAGCACATGTTATAATGGTCAAAATAATTTTCTGTATCTGAATTCGTAAATAAGCGGCACGATATTTCACTTGTTTGTTTTGCCTTTCTCAAACTGCTTAAGGTAATGATTTAATTGCACAGTGCGGACTAGGCCGATCACACTACTTTCACAACATGTTATTATAGGTCGAAAGTCTGTAGTATCTCTAAGTAAAGCACTATTCCAAGCTTACATTGTGTATATAATACATTGTGCCTAAAGAGGCATGAAAAAATTCTGGAGATGTTGTTTTACATACTACTTGAAAAAAGTTCCTGTTAGAATGCTCATCTAGCTAATTATTTAGTTGTTCTTGAGCAGAGCTGTATCTGAATAACTGGGTTTTGCTCGTTTTGTTTCCTTCCAGCATATGGCATAGGCCTTCTTGTGACCTTTGTTGCCTTGGCATTGATGCAGATGGGCCAGCCCGCTCTCCTCTACTTGGTGCCCTGTACTCTTCTCACAAGCTTTGCTGTGGCTCTTTGGAGAAAGGAGCTTGCAATGTTCTGGACGGGCAGCGGCTTTGCGGTGAATACCAGTTTGATATGAGTGTCTTCAAGAAATACTAATATTATAAAAACCTAACTAGAATTAAAGTTGAGTAAAATATTGCAGTATTATCAAACAAAACCAAAGATTTTTTTTTTTGCTTGTTTGCTTTTTTACATACTTTTTTGCCTCAGTAACATTTTCTTTTTTAATGTCTATGGCCACTTAAACTGGCTAATGAAAAGTAAAGTAGACCTTGTCTATCCTTCTTGATTCTGCCATAATTTTACTCTTTTGATCTCTGTTGAAAGTATTATTATTTATTATGGGTAAAATATTAAAATAGTATATAAAATGTAATGTTTTATAGTATTACATAAAATATATCCTCAAAAATATTTTTCTTCGTATTTTTTCAATAGCCTACAGCTTACGAGTTAGAAATCTAGCTCAATATCGTAAATTATCACTTTGTTTCACTGTGGTAGAAGTGAAATTAATTTGATTCCAAAAGGAGTAATTTCTATCGTGATGCATGATTATAGATTTGAATAATTACTTGAAGGGCAAATCTATCAAGCTAGAGGTTCCCCGTGAGTTTTGTTATTCAACTATTTGTGATAACCTTCACAACTTTCCCCTAGAGAACTGAATTTAATTGTTGGAAAAATATTTGAGGTCATCTGAAATGTGATGGAAAAGTTGCCAGTTGTTGTACAGTGATAGTAAAGGTGGGCAAAACCAGAGAATGATGAAGTGCCAAAGTGCTGTTTGCCTGTTGCTGTGTAATCAGCAGAGCGCATCTAAAATCGACAAGGAACAATCAGGCAGAAAGCAATTAAACACATTTCTGGAAGAAAAATCCCCTTGTGTACTATAAAACACAAAGACAGGATGTATGCACGTGTCCCGTACTGGAGAAGAATATAGAGATGGTGGACCTTTAATCTTCATCTTGCATGACCATCACTCCTAATAACTGGACATGGTAGTTCTTGCTTTCCATCATTCTGACTGTGATCTTCTATTTACAGAAAGACCTACCTCAGCCTCCCTTGGTGATAGCTCCTGTCAACTGCCCTGAGCTTCCCAAAGATAGCAATGTACCAGCCTCTCAAGACACAGAGCAAATGACCAATCCTACCCTCCATGTGAAGGAGCTGCACAGCCCCACCTCAGCTGCAGAGGAGCTGGCTGATACTGGCACAAAAATGGACCAGTCAGAGATTTCGGTCACACAGAGCGAGGAACCAGCTGCTCAGAATAAGGATGACCTTGAAAGCAAATGCCTAAATGGAGAGCAAAAACAGCTGGAATAAATGACATGATAAGAACTCCTTATTTTCCCTCACAAACATATCCATATAAAACCAGTATGTATTTAGGACTGGTTTAGTAGTGTTTGCATTCACTGAGGAACCTCACTGGGAGTCTGATCATCAAATCCAACAATGAATGTTCTGCCTCCAGCTTTGGTACAGCTATACACTTCAAACATCTTTCTGAAATATGGTGCTCTACAAGGGTTCTGATGTATGGATTTCAATGATCATTTTAATAGTGAATGCCTTTGACCATTCCATTTTCATTTTACCGGGGTAGTATTAAGAGTGTTTATTTACACAGTACTCTGTGCTTGTGTGGCTATTTTGCTGCTTTAGCATAGTGTAGGTTAATGTGGAGGAAAAGCATTGAACAAGTCTGCTACAATGCTTAGTTGAGAGAAACATCATAGGTTTTTTTAGCACTTTCCCTATTGTCACCTTTTACTTTACTTTTCCCTACTTGTCAAAGCCATTGATACAAGGGAATGCTTTAGTATAAACTGACATTCAGGAAACGCAGAGAATGGTTAAATTACCAGCCTCTGAAAGGATTTATACTACCGTGGTGCATTAAATGCATCTCTTAACTTTTTTGTCTTTGTTTTTACTTTCAGGTACCTGGGTTGGCTACTAGTCTAGTTTAAAAGGCAGGATGAACGGAGCTACAGGAAGCTTTCTAAGCACTCATATGAACTCTAGGGGCTGTCTTTGAAGATAAACAGTGTTTGTCACAGAACACTGTCTGGAAGCAAAAGCATATTAAGAATGTTTAATGTTTTAGAAATAAAATACAAGCCAAATAAGTAAGAAAATAGGTAGTAGCACTATGCTAAGCTTAATAGGCAGTATTTTCATTGGGAAAATGTTAAAGTAAAGCAGTAAAAGTTCATATGTTTGTGGTTTTGAGCTTCTACTTGTTATTCGTTTAAGGAATATAATTGTGATTTCTAATTCTGAAGAAAGTAATCTGCTGTTTTCATTCCCAAGGGAGCACATATGGTGCTATAGTCAGTTGTGGTTTAAAGCTACTTGCTGCTCAGTAACTAATCAACTGCCTCAGTCATGTTTTGTCTTTGTCACAAGAGGAGCCAAAGCATGGCCTGTCAGGTTCTGGAACGAGGCTGTGATCTAGTCTGTTATTTTGCACCTCTTGCTACATGACATTGTGAAGGACTAAATGTATGAATTTAAAACTCTTTGGGTTGCAGCTGGTCTTACTTAGTATTCCTGAAATTGTGTGTTTTCCTGTATAACACGATTGAGTCTTTTATGCATCAACTTTAGTACACATAGAGGGATGATGTGATTTGCATATTATTTATTCCATCTAAGAACATTTGGTTTTATCGAAGTTGTCTGTTTTATACTTAAATGACAATCCCAGAAAGCCTCAAACACTTCCCATTAAAACTGAAATAGAAAATGGAAGTATTCTAGGATCCTAGAATATGGTTCCAAATTGCATGGAAGAAATACTCTTAAGAGTATTTGAGAGCCCGAAATGTCATTTACAAAAGTATCATCACAGTGACGCGATCAGAGGCAATGCTTTTAAATTAAGAGTCTCCAGTTGGCATGTTGAGTTGAATTCTGAAGCTCTCTCTTTTAATGTCTGTCTGTTTCTTAAATTTCAGGCATTGTCTTTTTGGCTAGGTCTTCCAAAAGTTTGCCCTGTGCTTTTTGGATGATAACTTCTGTTTTAATCTGTTTCACATTGTGTGGATAGTATTCTTTCTCTAGAATGTGAAAGGCTTTCTGTAAAACCACACTATGGCTTCAGAGTTTTACCAGCTTCTGCTTAAAGCCTCAAGCACTGTCTGGTAAGTTGATTTAATGGTGAGTTTCTTGAAAGGCTTCCTGAGTCCAAAGGCCTGCCCTACCTTTAATTTACAAATCACCCTAATGGAAGATAGTACTAAGAGAACCGTTTTTCAACCTCCTCTTTAATGGACTATGTTACTTTCGCCAGCAGTAATCGGAACCAATTATTACTAATAAAAAGCAACAGAGACATTTTATTGAAAACTTCAGCCAGCTGGATTATGCCTTAATTTAAGCCATTGTATAAGTACGTATATTAAATTAAGAAAACAATCTTGTGTTTAAATAATGAACTTGACAAATAGCAAGAAAACAAGTTTGGAGACTGACTCAAAGTTCTATGGTTTTTTGCCTTGATTGTCCTTCAGTCATAATGTTATTTAGAATAGCTTTGTATATACTTAAAAGCCAGTAGCTTTCTGATGATGAAGCATTAAGTTTTATCATCTACTTGAAAGTGTATTTTAACATTTGTTCTCATGTTGTGGGTTAGGAAACAGTTTATTTCTCAAATTGTTTATAACTCAATTAAAATGAAAGAATTCATAACACTTAACTTGTAGGCATTTAACAGTTGCTTTGCTCACACTGTATTCTAGATAGGTCTGCTTGGAGCACGTGCTTCACCTTATGTTTCTGGAGGCTGTCCATCTATTTTTAAGTATGGTGTGGTTTGGTTTTGTGTGGGTTTTTTTCTCCAAACTACAAAGATCAATGCAGGAAAAAAAACCAATAGCTACTCAATGCAATATCTTCGGTTAAAGTATGTAAACTGGCAATGAGTTATATACTTTGACTATTCCAGTACTGTACAAATCAGGTGACCCTGGTGCACCAGTTTGGCTGTGACTGTTTGGACCCTGATCTTGGGCAGTTCAATCACTTCCATCAAAAACCAAGGCTCTGGCTTTTTGTCTTGCAAAAACCTCCCTGACCAGCTTAATGTAAAACTTAATGTTGTATAGGAAAATGTGAAGATATGTTCAGTGTAGCTGACTCTGATTTTATCTGATGATTGCAGATACACATCCCACACTAAACTTGAGTTAAAATGCTCAAAGTAATGAAAGTAATGTTAAAAGTGATGTTGATGTGCTTCTTGTTTACATGTTTCACATAGTAAGCCATTAGCTAACTATCTAAAAAAACAATAATAAGGATTCTATTTCTGAAAAATTGTATATGTTCAGGGGAAGCAGTTGTTTTAGTAAAAAAAAAAACCAACAAAACCAAACAAAACCAAAAATCAAAACAACAATAACCAACCCCACTAAAAAAAAAAAAAAAAATTTAAAAACACAACCCAAAAAACTCTTTGGATCACAGTAGTGAGGATCAGATTCTTTTGGGGGTCTGAAATTACTAAATATCAGTGTGTTGGACCAAGTGTTTGGTTTTGAGTGTGTCCTCCTGAAGGGCTGCACAAATGCAGCTGAAGGTAGAATGCAACCTGAAAGACTTTAAGTGTGATGAGTAAGGGAGAAGTATCCCAAACCCTGTTTTAATTTTGGGGATGTTTTTTTTCTTGTCACAAATGAAGAGCATTTTAAATGAAATATATAAAAAAGAAACAGAAAAAAAAATTCAAAAATATATTCTGTTTTTACCAGTGGCAGTAAAAAAGAGCACATCCACATATGTAAGAATTATACTTGTGAAAATATTTAATGTTTTCTCTAAGCTTGGACAAATGCCAGAAGACAGAAAATCTGCAGCACAGCATATTTTCCAATAGGTTTATTAACATGTCTAATAGAAAGCTTCATTTAGAAAACTGTTGATTTCTTTTTTTTTCCTCCTTCTTTTATATTGACCATACCAAATTTCTTGAACTCTTTATGGGATGTCTTGATCTCAGATAATCAGTCAAGCTTTTCCTTTAGAAGCTGTTCTTTTCTTACAGTAGCCCTCAGTATGCCTTTTGCTAAGAATGCCTTGTGAGTCTTGATGTTCTCCTATAGATTCTTGCTTTGAAAGCTCTTTCAAAACACAATACTTTGGTCCATATATATGCTTAGTATCTCCAGGATATCTCACCCTACAGTTTGTAGAACTTTTCCTGGCTAGGCAATTAAAAAAAAAAAAAAAGCGTTCAGTAACAGTGTTGCCTTGAAGTAAATTCTTACATGCTGCTATTTTTGTGCAAGATCCTGCAGTTTTGTTCTTGTCTTCTCTTTAGCCCCATGTTTGGGTAGTGCATATTCTGGTCTCTTGCACTACGCTGGCTGTTTAGGATGTAAAGCCCTGTAATATTTCTTTTTAATGGCAACTTTGTGGAGTATCAATTAACAAAGCAGTCTTTTGTATATGCTTTCATTGTTTGACATGTTATTTGTAGTACATTCATGGGTAAATAAGCTGGCTAAGCAGTAATGTGCAACTAGTGCATATTGACACTTGACACGCATCACATTGACACAAGTAAGTGCTTGAAATATAGACATACCAGCAGATCCAAATATTTGTCCAAAGCCTGCAGAGATGGTGCCTGTTTCCATGACAAATATAATCTCTGACGTTTTAAAATAAAATCTGTAAGGGCTGCATCTTCAGGAAAATGAGGACATTATTATTAGAGTCCAGAAGAGAACAGGAACTATGATCAGAGGTCCAGAAAACATCAGCAACAAGGCAAGATTAATCTTCAGGTATTTTATCTAGAGTGTGGCTTCCCAGCTGGCTGGCAGGACATGAAGCACAGACTTGCACTACCAAGCTCTTTGCCTTTTCAGTTTAGGCTCTGTGCCAATGGTGCTAGGTAGGATGGAGAGGGAAAGGATAAGAAAAAAAGTGAAGGTGGCTCAGAAAGCACGAGGAGACACTGAAAAAGAATGCCAGTGGAAGAATTTACTCCAGAGACGTCCAAAACAACTACTACAAGGAAAAGACCTAAGGGCATATATGACAAATATCCAAAAATCTGAAATGCTACTGCAAAGTGGAAAAACAAACAATTTTTTTTTTCTTTTTCAAGTAGGGGTGGCATTAGAATTAATAGACTTAAATTAGAGTAAGGGAATTTTGGGGCTGGTGGTAGAAAAATCTCTAAGAATGGCTAACAACTTAAGTGGTTAGCCATGGGAAGCATATGTAAACCTCTATGGGGCAGGGCTATTTCCAATGTTTACTATTGCTGAGCTCATCTTGTTCTCTTGTTCTGAGAGTAAAGAATTTAACCACATAGACAAGAGCCGTGTCATTCCACTTGCGTTGGGGGCCACTGAACAAGCCCTGGCCCGCTTTAGTCCTCATGTAGTCTGAGGATCAGGCTTTTTATAATTTAATGCCATCATAGCATGAACTTTATCACATAGCAGTCATTTTGAGTGCTGTAATGGAGTTTTGCAAGCATTGTGACTGACAATTCAGATCTTGTATTACAAAGACTTTTGGTTTTGTTTTGCTAATTTAAAGACGATAAATCCTCTGGAAAGAAACAACATCAAAGCACACGTTAAATAGATGCAGTGCTCTTTCTACTGCTCTTTCTATTTTTTTTAAATGTACATTTAATTTGTTGAATTGCATTGAATGTTTCTGGCACCCTGGAACATTTTTGGACAGGACAGCCTTGTGTGCTACCAGAAGCTTTCTTTGGCACTGGCACAAGAGTATTGTCTCTTCGCTGATCCTCTGTATCTTCTGCATTTATCAATTATGTGCTCTTCTGTGAGTGTTTCACCTTTACCTTTTCCTCTTCCAGTTTTGCAGGTAAATATTCAAATTATGTGGAGTAAAGATGAGGTTTTGCCATTTGTAGGTTAGT